ATCCTTAAACCAGTTGCATACTGCTAATGAAGGACTGACTGAAAATCTTATTTGATTTCAAGACTTCAAGTATATGACTATGTCTTGACTCATAGACTTAATAATTGGAAGGTTTTGATAGAAATAGAAATCCACTGACCACTCCAAAGGACCAAAATCCAGGTTCAGAATAAAGAAAAGTCAATGGCTTGATAATTAGACTACTCTTAATAAAAATGGTCTAGGAAAAATTAAGAAAAAATCACATAGTTTTTCGAAGAGGTAGTGCTTATACATAGTTAATAAATATATAAAAGCTACTTATGTATATAGATTATTAATATAAGCAGATATATGAGTACTTGTTAGTATATACATTGTCTATCTGTATACAAAGAGTAATATAAGCAGCTAAAGCCAAGGCAGTTGTCTTATATAAATGTATAGATATATTACTAATAAAGATCGTAGCAATGAGTTTATGAATTAATAAATCACAAATTTATAGACAACTTCTTCATATTCAAAATTTCTTTCAACATTAACCCAGCCTTGGCAGGTTGGCTTCCTATCCCAGGGATAGTAACAAGCTGCAAGGTGAGTATCTCCATATAGAAGAATTCTATTGGATTTTATTTAGTAGTAAACAGATAGTACATCCTAAAATAGCTTTCATATATTGATACTACATAATTACAAATAAAACAAGACTGAGCTAGTATTTAAAAAAATATATATACTGTATATATATCATATATAATAGAAATCATATATCATTGTCCCATTTTTCAAGAATTACTCTTTCTGATAATCCTCTGATCACATACAAAAAAGACACACGAAAAAGCTTTTCTAGCTTTCCTGTTGATAATAATCTTATAATTCTTCTTAAACCATCTTGAGAAGTCTCTCAGGAGTTGCTCATATCCCTTTCCTCTTGTTTACATTTCCTTTAAACAAAAACTTAACTACTTGTGATCTTAATAGTTATAAACATACCTTTCCTACCTACAGCAAAAAGATTCTGAAAAGAAGAAGAACAGATGCTCTACCACCTCTCATCTTATAGAAAAACATCACAGGGCCATTTGGTTTATCACGAATGCACTCACTCACTCTCTTTATCACTAGTTGGGCTCTAATAGTGCTCTTTCTTGATTGTTTCTGGGGAATTTTACCTATTTCAGTTTGATCCTGAATTTTAAGTAGCATAAGGTTTCTTATGATTTGATTGGTCCAGTAGAATAACATTAGTACAAGAATGTAAACAAGTCCCCATTGGTCACTTCACGTGTCTGAATGTATTTCCTCAGCCCCATAAGAACCTGGGGTCCACTATAAGTTGTATAGGTCTGGCGCGGATGAATACAAGACACTCTTCCCTACCACATCTTTGGCTCTTATCAGACAATAAAAAGAAACACACAGCTGTAGACCAGTTAGTTCAACTCTTAGAACACAGAGGCCTAGCAAACGTCTCTTGACTTTACTGCATCGGAGTAAAAAGGGCTCGTGGCAAGGTAGAACGTATTGCATTGGATCGTTCTATACAGCCATATATATGTCACTATTCTCAAATCTTTCTCTTACAAAGATAGAATTTCTCCCACCTTGGAAGATGAAAATCATCCAACCACACCAAAAGGAGCTCCATTCCACCAATTCCCCACCAAATTAACTGCACAGATAACCATCTTAAAGAATTCTCCTTCCTGTTCAACAAGAGTAGTTTACTCCTATATATAGTTGGAACCTGACTGGAAAGTAATTTCATCAAAGGGACATAGAAGAGTTTTCCACAGTACTGAGACAACCTTAGGTAAAGTTAAATTGAGTGGCACCAGTATTTGACTTGGGAGTTGATAACACCATTTGAAATGATTAACAAGTCGACACATGGATATTGCTGGAAGTTATCACAAAATAACATGGGAAATCACATCAACACCACCACTTTGAGTGCATTAACAACAAGCACATCCAGTAGAAATATTGAACAGTGTGGACTCAAGCGAAAGTTTCTTCCTTGTATAAGTTGCACAGTAACTTATTGATTAGCTCAAGTTTCTTTTTGAACTCACAAATAGCAGTAGTAGTATCTGAAAACTAAGAAACACACTATATTACTTACATATCTCCTTTCCATACTGCTAGTTAGGTCTTCAAGCATATGTGTACTATTATTAACCATTTTTTCAGGAGGTTTTTATATAGTTAATTTGTCCATTGACATTCACTTTACATACATGGTCATAAATTTAGATACATTCCTCCATCCTATTTCTTTTTTACCTTTTCTAAAGGATGAAACACCAGTGACACTTTGAGTATGCTGGCTTCTTGAAATTGCATCTGGCAGACAGCAGGGATCCTTATCAATATATTTTGTTGTCAAACTATAGATAGGTTTAGAGTTTATCTGGAGTATAGCTTCTTCAAATGAATATACTTGTCTATTAAATTTCAATAAAATGGTCTGTCCTATTTTTTCAAAAAAATATATATATATATCGTTGCCTAACTTAGATCTTTCCAAAAACAGATCATAGCATACTAAAATTTTATACACATGGAGAGTAGTACCAATATTAATTTATTATACATTTATTGACTTAACATCTTATTTAAATTTAGCCGTGATGGATACTCAAACTTTTATGATCGAAATTATATATTTATTGATCAACCAACGATATGAAGCTATGTTTTTGCACCTATACTCCAAGAGATCAAGGATAGGACTCACAGATATAGCTGAAGAGATTGACTGTTCTAAAAGTTCTGTAGTTTTTTGAATCAGAAGATAGAAAGAAACAACAGATTTAAGTGATAAACTGCAAGATGATCGAAGATGTAAAACAAATTCAAATTAAAACAATACAATCATTGAGTTTGCAAAAGGAAAAGCTGATATAATTAGCCATGAAATACAATAAAAACTCAAAAAGCAATAGATTGATATTCGTATAAGCATTATTAATCAATATATTAAGGAAGTTGGAGAAAAATATAGCAATAAATTAATTAAACCCTATTTATTATGAAACATCAATAAAAACAATTAGAATGGGCATTAAAGTATCAAAAGTTTAACTGAAATACCATTATTTTTTCATACGAAAGTACCTTTTACCTAAACCAACCTATAAAAAAAGTATGGAAATTTCTTGAAAAAAAAAAAGTATTTTGTAATATAAAGTATCCTTTAAAAATTAACATATAGGGCTGTTTTTCAGCATCAGGCTTTGGTAAGTTGATTTGCTTTCAGTAGAACCTCAATTTTGAATTTATGTTTACCATCTATAAGAAGGGTCTTTTACTCTTCATCTCTAGATTTTTTGGTACAAATAATTCATGCTGGGTCTTGCAAGAAGATAATGACCCAAAACATTGTTCAAAATTGATGAATAAATGGAAGGAGGACAAAAAAATCAAGGTTCTTTTTTGACCGACAATGTCATCTGATCAAAATCTTATTGAAAATGTCTGGCATCTAATAAAGATAAACATGTCAAAAAAAAAATTAATGCAGTTATACAATTTAAAAGTGAATTAAAAAAAACATGGAACAACTTACCTAATGAACTTGCAAAAAAATTAGTTGATAGTATGAAACATCATATAGAAGCTTTAATCGAAGTGGATGGAGACTTTACTATATATTGATAATTAACTTAAATGATGTAATTTAAAATAAAAATTTTTTATTAATTTGTAATATCTTGTTGCGGAGATTTGGGTTGGACAATGACATATGATTTCTACTATAAGGTTGAAAATAAATTATTAATTTATTGTATCTTGTTTATTATTATTTGTTTATATTTTTTTGTAAAGTTTTTGTGAAGTTGACTAATTTGTTTTATTATAAATTTAAATAAATAATATTATATAATTAGAAATTTTATTTTATTAAGTTATGCATCATGAATTTTTAATAAAGTTGATTTCAAATGTTTCTTAAAATAAAATAAAATATATTTTAAAATTTATTATTGCATATAATTATTTATTTTTAAAGCAGATACTGGATTTTAGTAATTAAATTCGCATCAATGTTTATATAAAACAGTTGATAAATTAATTATAAATATTTGATTTAATAAAAAGCTTAAGTCTAACACTTGTTTCATAATAATAATAATACAGAGTATAAGATTGAAAAATTTAAAATTATTTTATAAAGTTAAAATATTCCTATATATTGAAAATTTAAAAAGTTTAGATGGTTTTTTTTTTATTCTAAACTATATACATATTTATTTTTGGATTTTTATTCTATACAAGTAAGAATGATTAATATACTGTATATAGTATACAGTATTGTAATATGTTGGCGTGCAAATTACACATCTCAAATCAAAGGATTTAAATCCCTCGGTTTATTGCTTATACAATTGGTTTCACTTAAAAATCAATGCTCGGACATAGACGAGTTCTGTGCAAACTTTCAATGGTAAGCAAATATTAGAGGCACCTGAAACGCTTGTTCATTCTCTGCCATTCTTTCACTAGAATAGCTTGTGTGGTTGATTCCACCGGTTAATACAATTTAACACTTTTCCATGTGAATCTTCATACCATTTTTTCTAAAACATTATATATCACATCACATGTTTGTATTCAAGTTCTCATGATCCGGAGGCTTCGCTCGATGCAAATGCCGTACTTAACATTTTGGTAAAACAACAACTTCTATTTATTCTTTGTATGATATATAAAGTTAATGCATATGACGCAATAAAATTGGCTTTCCGGCTAAATCTTGGAAAGATGAACAATACTAAAACATAACATTTTTGTTGACAAAAACAAAATCTCGGCAATTGGAACACGGATGTAAAATTAACCACAATTTATCCGAGTTCCAAAAAATTTTTCTGATGCTGAATAAGAAAATTGTATAAAAGGCTGTGCTTCAAAAGTCGAAAAAATTCAAATTTCTCTCCCAAAGACTTGAAAATCATTCACCAAGGAAGTAAAAAAAAAAAGATTCATATATTAAACATTTGACAAAGATTATGGGAACAACACAATTGAATAATAGCGAATTCGACGAATCATTCACAGAAAAGAGTGTTCATTTTGATAGTATGGCGGAACAAACTACCAGTAAGCAAGATGCGAAAAGTGAGGATGGATCTGAACAGGGAATTTATTTATTGATTTCTCACGGAGGAAGAATGCATGATCCTCGTGGAGGACGAAGGATTGGTTTATTTGGGCCATTTGGTCCTCGTGGTCTTAAAGGTTTCAGTTTCCTTCATGGAGGGCCACATAGAGTTGATCCACACGAAAGACCTCACGATAGAGTTGAGAGAAGAGATGTGCACCATGGTCCTCCTCGCATTCGGGAATTTAGACATGGACCTCATTTCGTGCATAATTCAAAAAAAGAATTTGATAGCGAATGCAGTTATGGTCCTTGTAGGTTTGGCCCCGGTCTGCATGAAAGGCGTGGACCTATCTTAGAATCTGATTCGGAGGCAGAATTTCATCGTAAACCAAGACACCATGGAAAACCTAATCGTCATTCTCATGGTTTTGATGGCGAACGCGATTATGGTCCTTGTAGGTTTGGCCCCGGTCCGCATGAAAGGCGCGGACCTACCTTAGAATCTGATTCGGAGGCAGAATTTCATCGTAAACCAAGACACCATGAAAAACCTAATCGTCATTCTCATGGTTTTGGCCCCGTGAACGTGGAGATAGACCTCGAGGTGGTCCCCGTAGTGAACTTAAGATTGATGATAATATTCATTTGCCCTTTCATGATCCTCGGGAGCGTAGACATGGGCTTCGAGGTAGTTCTCACGATAGATTTGAAACTGAAGAACTTGATCATATTTCTCGGAAACATCCTCATGGATTCGGTCCTTGTGGAAAATTTAGGACTGAACAAAATGAAAAGCCATTCCATCATGGAAAACCTGGAAATTGTGAATGCAGTCCTTATGAGGATCTTTGGTCTCGAATGAATGGTAACGGATCTTGTGATAAATTACATGGCCTTCACGAGAGATTTGAAGTTAGAGAAGATGTAAAAGAATTCCCCCATAAACATAGACATCATGGTGGGCCCCCTTCGTTTAGAACGTATGAGCATGGACGTAGAAATAAATATGAACATGGTCCCCGTGGTAGATTTGAGAAGGAATTGAAAAATCACTCTGACCATTCCGAAAATTATGGGCACGAAAATCGTCTTCGTGGTCATAGATTTGAACATAGTAGACACGGATCTGGATCAGATTATTCAAGTAAAAGTTTTAGACATCATCGTGGTGATCGTAGGTTTGAACACCGTGGGCATGAATCTGAGCCGGAATTCGGACCAAACCACTCAAGTAAAAGTTTCAGGTGTCATCCGGATGATTGCAGGTTTAAACATGGCAGGCGCGTACATCATTTAAGTGAAGTTTTTGGAAATATTGGTACTGATTTTGAACCTCGAAGAATTCATAAATTAAGCAAAATGGGGCCACGCTTGCATCGTCATGTACATGGGCATAGACATGGGGTATCCCGAAGATGTCCTTTCCGTCATCATAAGCCGCTTTCTCCTGAAGAACTTGCAGAGAAAGTTGCTCTTCTAAACTTGATGGGTTTCGATCTCGAAAATAACTCCCATTATGAGAAATTATTGAAAAGATTTAACGGAAGAATTGGTCATGTTGTTGAAATTTTGCTTAGAGAATGAGAGAAAGAAGAAAAAGATGATGAGAGTAAAGACGAGGATAACGAAGGAAAAAATAGAGATGATGAAGGGAAGGAAGATAACGAAGGAAAAAATGGAGATGATAAAGGGGAGGAAGAAGAAAACGGAGAGAGTAGAGAATATTACATTATTGCTGGGGATAAGGTTGATAGCCAATATTAAAATCTAAAACGTTATAAGAGAGATTACCGGGGACACATTTCTTTTTGTCATTTGAATATACGGTATACAGTATATATTTGGGTAATTATTTTTGAAAGTATTAAAAAGATTAATTAAAAATTTTCAGTGACCTTTTTTTGGATACAT